TTCTTCTACGGTCTTCCTTATTCCCTGTCCAAATTTCACATGCATATGAGGTTATTAAAAATACCATGGCTTGGGTCAGGCACATCTTAGTCCTCAAACTGACTTGTTTGTTCTTCAACACTCTAAAGAGGTCTTCTGCAGCAGATTTTCCTAATGCAATACATTGTTTGATTTCTTGACTGCTGCTCCCATGAATGTTGATGGTTGATCCAAGCAAAATGAAGTCTTTGACAACTTCAATCTTTTCTCCATTTATACGGATGTTATTGTTTGGCCCAATGTTGGGGATTTTTGTTTTCTTTACATTGAGGTGCAACCCATAAAGAAGACTGTGGTCTTTGATCTTCATCAGTAAGTTTTGTAAGTCCTCTTCCCTTTCAGCAAACTAGGTTGTATCAAAGGCTGTTAATGAGTCTTCCTCCAATCCTGATGCCACATTTTTCTTCATATAATCCAGCTTCTCAGATTATTTGTTCAGCATACAGACTGAATAAGTATGGTGAAAGAATATAGCCCTGGGACACACCTTGTCTAATTTTAAACTGTTCAGTGTTCCTTTGTTCTGTTCAAACAACTACCTCTTTGTCTATGTACAGGTTCCTCATTAAGTGTTCTGGAGTACTCATTCTCCACAATGTTGTCCATAACTTGTCATGATCCACACTATCAAAAACGTTTGCATAGTCAATAAAGCACAGGTAAACATCTTTGTGGTATTCTCTGCTTTCAGACAAGATCAATCTAATATCAGCAGTGATAACCCTCATTCCACATCCTCTTTTGAAACCAACTTGAAGTTCTTTGTCAGTGTATGGTTGTAGCCATTTTAACTTATCTTTAGCAAAATTTGGCTTGCATGTAATATTAATTATATTGTCCAGCTATTTCCACATTCTGTTGGGTCATCTATCTTTGGAATGGGCACAAATGGGCATCTCTTCTAGTCAGTTTGACAGGTAGCTGTCTTCCAAATTTCGTGGCATAAATGAGTAAGTGCCTCCTGTGCCGCCTCACTTTCTTGAAAGATTTCAATTTATATTCCATCAATTCCTTGAGCCCTGTTCATTGCCAATGCTTTCAGTGCATTTTGTACTTCTTCCTTCTGGATTATTGGCTCTTGATCATATGCTACCTGTTGAAATGGTTGAACGTAGACCATCGCTTTCTGGTTCATTGACTCTGTGTATTTCTTCCGTCATCTTTTGATGCTTTCTGCATCATTCAATATTTTCCCTGTGTTGTTGTTGTTGTTAAGTGCCGTTGAATCGGGTCTGACCCATAGCCACTCTGGCCTTATTTTGAATGATGATATGGAACTTTTCCACTGGGTCCTTTCACAGATGTAGTCAGTTTGATCTCTGTACATTCTATCTGATGAAGTCCATGTGTATGTTGTTTAACAACCTTTTATGTTGATTTAAAAAAGGTATTTGCAATGAAAATGTCATTGATCTTGCAAAATTCTGTCATATAGATCTCCAGCATCATTTCTATCATGAAGGCCATATTTTCCAACTACTGATCCTTCCTCATTGTTTCCCCTGTGAATTCTAATCACCAGTAATTTTCAATACATCTTGATTGCATGTTCAATTTCAGACTGTAGATGTTGGTAGAATTTTTGTCTCATCAACACTGTTTTAGTGGTTTGATACATAAATTTGAATAATAGTGCTATTAACTGGTCTTCCTTGTAGGCATATGACTATTATCCTATCACAGACAGCATTGTAATCAAGACAGAGCTTGATTTTTTTCTTTTTGATGATGAA